TGGCGGTTACGACGGGCCCGAGAACTACGGCCAACACGTTAGCCGATTCGACTTCCCAGCGCACCCGATCCCGTATCCCTTCTGTACACAGTCTCAAGGGAACGCAATGACTGCCGAGCGCGAAGACAGCCAGGTACTAATCCACTACGCACAATCTTTCTCAAAGAACCTCATTTCACAATGAGCTCCAGCAATACATCGACAACCCTATGGGATTCCTCCAGCAGCTGAGCCGCAACTACAGCACAGACCTCACGTAGAAGGCGGCCCCAACAGCCCCAACATAGACCACCTTTCCAGCCATGCGCCCGTTCCGATTCACCCTCTCCCACCAAAACACCCGAAGTAGTTCCTCCGTACCTTCGATCGAACGGGTTCCGTCGATTTCCCCGCCCAGATTCTGCCTGACGGCGACGATGGCCCCGATGAAGAGGATGGTTGTTGGGATCGGAAGGAAGCAGTCCAATCGAACTTTGGCAGGGAGAGGAGCAGCTCGGAAGTGCTCGGACGTTATCACCACCGGCATCCTTTTTACTCGAACCCACAGAGCACGCATCCCCCTTCTAGCAGGACAGATGCATTTTGGAGAGCGTCTGCTATCGATTCCAGATCTTTGCAGCCTCGGCGTCAGCATTGGCGCATTTCGCACTCAGCACGACCACTCGAGCAACCAAGCCTACCACTACCAATCGTGGAGAGGGACTCGCACTTACTTTAGTAGCCCTCGACCCCACTGGGCGAAGGCGTCATATCTAGCCTCGAACAAAGAGCCGGCCGATTCCCAAGAGAGTTGGCGGGAAGCTATGGATGACTCCACGCAGTTACAAAAATCATTGGCTGATGCAAGTGTGAATTGTATTGTATTTATTTGTGGGTTACACCGCCGTTCACTTCCACAGCATTCAAGGTATAAAAAGCTTTTCCGTTCAGCAAGTGCGAGTGAGAAACGCTACAGGAGTGACGACAGTAAAAACCGACAGTGATTGGATGAAAATATGATCAGGAAGCTGAGTCGCATGACGTCCGTGGGAGTATGATGTGCTCATCCAGTCAGCCGCTGCCTTGTGCTACTGTTGCCACCCTCGATTACCGGAACGCCATTTTCGACAACCTCCCGAGTCTCAGTGCCATCCCTAGCGACGCGAATCGTCTCCGTTCTCGTGTTGGTGCCGTCCGAAATCGTCTTGACGGTCACCCGTTCGCCGTTGACGACGGTGGTGCGAGTCGAGCTGGACCGCATTCCGCCGCCGCCACCGCCAAGCGAAGACGAAGAGGACGAAAAAGATGTCGAGAAGGAGCCGGAGCCGCCGCCCAAGCCCATGCCCATCTGCGAAAACGGGTCTCCGTGCATCATCGGCGGGAACATTTGCGGGAACATTGGCGGGAACATGGGGTGGTGCATGCTGTTGAATTGGTGTTGGTGCTGCTGCTGGTGCTGATGCTGGCGTTGGTGGTGATGGTTTTGGTGCGCTTGCTGGTGGAACTGGTGGTGTGCGGAAAAGAACGGGTCGTTTGCAAAGAGCTCCCTAAAAGGACACAAGCGCGGAAGGGTTAGGCGCAAAACCAGTCCAAAGGAGCCATATACTCAACTGAAACAGCATGCGCGGATCGTGGAATTGGAACGGGTGGAACCCAAAGAACGGGTGTTGCGGCTGCTGTTGCTGCGGGAAGCCCCACGGATCGTACCCAGCAGCGCCTCCGAACGCGGGGCCGGGATCGCTACCGGAGGCGGGCGTGCCGCGGACGCCCTGCCATCCGTACCGATCGTAGGCGCTGCGGGCCTGCGGATCGCGAAGTACCTCGTACGCTTCCGACACAATCTTGAACTTTACCTCGGCATCGGCCTTCTCCGCTGGTGGGGCCTTGTCGGGGTGGGTGGCGAGTGCGGCGCGCTTGTAGCCTGAAAAGTTCGCAGGAGTGGTGGGGAGGTGATGGGGAAGGTGTGGGAAGGCGGGTCATTGTCAACTCACAAGGCCTCGGCGGCTGACGGCTGAAGGGGCAACGGGGCCCTCATCGAACCACGGAGCTTACCTCGCTTGATGTCGTCTTCCGAGGCGTTTCGCGACACGCCGAGCACTTCGTATGGGTCGAAGTCGGGCACGGTGTTGGAGCTGGCGGCCATCTGTGTTTTCTTTTGCTGCTGTCGATCGTTTGTTTCGTGGGGATTCTGAAAAGAAAGTCCACGCAGATCAGTGGATCCAAATGGAAGGCGGCAGCCACCCAGCCACACCCAGCCACAACTGCAAGGGGTGCGCCTCCTTTCGCGTTGTGGACAACACATCCCCCAGTGCCCCACTATAACCTCCTGGGAGGAAAACGATGACGAACAAGAAGGAGTCGCACGGAGTACCGACCCGATAATTAAGAATCATATAGCCGAGTGCTCCGGAAGTGATCCAGCTGAAGCAAGCGTTTCATTCTTCGCATATCAGCATTTTTCAGAAACGACGAGAAGGGTTGCTCAGATCCGAAGGATAACCAAGTATGACGTCGGTTCCCGGCTCACCTCACTAGACTGTTTCGATCACTGGGATTGAGCAGATTCAAGAAGTTTTCCACGAAAGCGAGGTGGTAGTGACGCTATTTCACAACAAAAAAGGAGACTGCCTTTGGGCGATCCCTCGCATTGATGCCTTTCCAAGCTCCGCTGGCTTTCTCAATTCACTTCTCCGGCTCAGCCGTTCCTGTGGTCGCACGGCGAAGAATATATTGAGGATAATCGAACTATGTCTTTGGGCTATTTCGAAACATAGGTTGGAGGCGGGGCTGCGCGACACAGTGCAGACGAGAATACGTGCGGAGCTTATGCTCAGTTGCTTGCAGCAAATAGTGATCGACTTTGCCCGTAATTTCGTCCTATAAGCGTTTGGCGTGTTTAGTGGATTTTTCAAGTGTTGAATACAAGACCAGGTACATCGAAGGCACTCGACCGCAAGCCCTGCACAACAACAAATAAACAGCCAGTCCAGACATTTCAACGCACTGCTTCAGATTCTCTCCTTCAGCTTAGTGTGCGTCGCTGTACGTTGTTCTACAACCAAATGGCAGAAATGCGACGAAAGAATTTCCCATCACCCACTCGAAGAAATTGCCGAACTACTTCACAATGAGCCGTTTACGGGCAGAATGATGAAACGAGCTTCTTGTCATGTTGAGAAGAAAGGATGACTATGCCATAGTACCAAAACCGAAGAAAGGGGGAAAAGACGATTGGACACTTTCTTCGTCAGGCGTGCACGACGGCCACGAAACCGGGCGTACTGTCTGAGTAAGAAGGGAGGCGGGTCGGTGCGGCCTGGTTCAGGGGGGCTCTCGCTGCAGTTGTTGTTTCGACCATCGATCACACTCTCTCTGGGATCGGAACGGCGGCGACGCGCTACCGCAGCTCGAGGTCTCGCACAGCTCGACTAAGCCAAGGCACATCGTCTTTGTAAGGTGGGGCAATGGGGATGTGGTTTCTGCAGGCTCCGGACTATTCCCCGACTTATCGACACGATGATCCTTTCCACGTGATCCCTGCAGCTGTGGTCTGCTTTGCAACAACAATTCAATCCGATGACAAGAACGTGCGACAAGGTACTATGTGTAAACAGTCTACCCTGAGTGAGGGAGTCGAAGGAGTGGAGATAAGTGTTTGTGGGTGGTCCTTCTCCCCAAATTGGAGAGAGAGATAAAAACTCTGTTATGAATAATTGTTACATAATGATGATATGCATTCTATAATAGTTGCTAGGGCAAGTGTGACTGACACAGGGTAACACCCTCTCCTATATTATCTGCTTGAGCAGAGGAGGAGGAAAACTGTTTACACCAGGTTTCCGTTCCACTTAATACTCAGAGTATTGTCAACAGTGCAAGCCAGCGCCTGGGTCTGCATTGGCAGTGGTTCACTCTCCCCATGGGTATTGTGAGAATGATAGCTGACAGTAACAATAGGATTGGGTCTGTCTTGTGCCTCTTGTTGCTAACCAATCAGATCTGCCTGCCTAACACTGGGGGGGGGGAGGGATTCAAATAGATCTTAATTCGACTTCTGTCAAGAACAGGGCAGGACAGGACAAGGCAGACAAGGAGCTGAGAGGAGTTATGATTGTATTGGAAACAATAATTCACTTGAGGGATGGGACAGGTCCCCGATCCCCCTTTTATACTTTTGGAGAGTCTTCCTTGTCAAGACTCAAAGAAAGTTCCAGAAAGAGCAATTAGTAATACAATGATACCAATGATACCAATGACAACAAGACAAGTCAGGAAAGCAAAGAGGGTTCCAGAAGGTTCCACAAGGTTCCATGAAGGAATGTTCTAGAAGGGTCCAGAAGGTTCCAGAGGGTGATTCATAACAGTGCCGAAACAAATTGAATTATTGTTTCCAATACAATCAATCACATCCTCTCAGTTCCTTGTCTGCCTTGTCCTGTCCTGCCCTGTTCCTACATGGTCGCCCCTGTGTCGTGAAAACTGGTTCAAATTAGGTAAAAACGTGGTACGGAAATTGAAAATATCAAAATCCAATATCGAAATACAGCTTTCGCCAGTTAAATATATAAAAATTGGATTTGGTGCGAGATCAGTTTCAGACCGCTACCAGCTCTTTTACAAAACAGAAAGGTGCTAGGCAACGGCTTTTACTGAAAGCATACTAGATCATTCTCACGCAAATATTGAGCATAGCCACCAGTTGGGCTAAATTTGGGGTGGGATAAAGGGTGGAGCAAATTTTTTGTGTAATTGGTTTGAATAAACCAGCCAACCACCAGCTTGGGGTCTCTGTATGTGTCCCGTGCCATAACCTTTCACACAATCCTCTCTTCCTGTTTGGTGGCAGAGAAGCTGTTGAAAACAGAATACCCCAGCAGATAAAACCCGCTATGCGGGGGAATTTTGCCCCGCCGTTTGCCACACTGGTGGCTTTCATTCTGGGGCAAAGCCCCAGCGGGGGCACAGACGGAAACTCTTTTATTATGTCCAACATTGGAAATCTCAAAACGTTTGGAGAAATAAGCCCATGGTGGGGATCGAACCCACGATCTCTTCCTGACCCTGCGCCACATGACGAGTAGGAGGGAAACGCAATACCACTTTGCTACACGGGCTGTTCCGGGAAAAGGCACCAAGCGGGCTACAAAAGTGACTAATCTCGAAAGCCTGTCTCCAAACGGAGCGCAGCTGGAAGGACGCACGTTTCAGCCTGGACAGTTGGTGTTCGAGACTTGCTCGACGAGCTGTGTTTCTGCCAGTTTTTACGAAAGTATCGATACGCAACAAAACGACACTGACCAACCCCAGTGCAAAGGTTTTTTCCTTCGGTTTTCTCAAGGACCACACCACTGAACCGAAACTGTGCCATCTGGATCTGCAATGGTGAAATGTTCGAAGACACAAAGAGTATAGCTGCCAGATGGAAGAGGTGCCTGCCCCCATGCTTCTTTGGCCTTCCCTCACCCCTGCCTGACTTTCGTCCTGGCACATCACTCCCTCGCACTGCGGTACTTGCAGCGTTCAGAATGAACTGAGTCGGTCGAGGATTGCCGCTGACGATCTGCAGACCTTCTCTCCCATCGATTGGAGCGGCCTTCAGCTCGTTGCGGGAGTGGATGTTTCGTTTTTCGAAGGCACGATGGAGGCGATCGGATGCGTTGCGGTCCTCAGCTTTCCGGAACTGACGGTCCGTGCTAGGTCGATCCATGCTTTTTTTCCTTTTTTTTCCTTTTTCCTTTTTTTTTCTTACAGGGCAGCCAGATTCTCACACCGCAAACTACTTCACGGCTTAACAGGTGGTTCATGAATGCATTCAGAGAGTGACGTTGACAGAGCCGTACATCCCCGGATTTCTTGCATTTCGGGAGTATCCAGTCATCATGCAGATGCTCGATCGTATCAAGCGCGAGCGCCCGGAAGTGTATCCCCAGGTTCTCCCCCTCAATCAATTCCCTCGCTTGCCTTTCTGGAACCTCATCAAACGCCCGCTCGGATTCCCCCGCTCGAACTCCCCCGCTCCCAATTTTACTGTCCAGGTTCTCTTTGTTGACGGCAACGGGACGCTCCACCCTGAGTTCTTTGGCCTCGCCTGCCACGTTGGCGTCCTCGCGAACCTCCCCTCCATCGGCATTGGCAAGAACTTTCTCGAAATTCGCGACGAGGCGCTCCTGATGGACGACGTCAAGCGGCGCGCAAAGACTGACCTGCCGCATGCGGGCGCGTGGTTCCCGCTGGTCGGGAGCGCTACAGGAAGGGTGTTTGGCGCGGTAAGGATGATTGCGCAGTGCAGAAAATGCTTGAGGGGTGGGTGGGATGGTGAAGGAATACGACCCGGCAAAACGCTGAATTGCGCACTTCTCTCTGTCTTCTGCTAGGCTGTCAGGGCGACAAAAGACTCGGTAAATCCCGTGTTTGTGTCTCCGGGGCATCGTGTGAGCGTGGACACGGCCGTGCGGCTCACGCTGGCTGTCTCAAAGTTTCGGGTGCCCGAACCGATAAGAATGGCCGATGGCGCGAGCAGAAGGGAAGTGGCCGCCTCGTGAGGGCGGAGTGTGGACCTGTGCGAACGTTACACTGCTCTGTTTGGATAGCTGGAACGTGACTCAGCGTGCCGTGCCCGCAGAATCCGCTACCCTTCTCGTGGCTCATCGGGTTGCCACAGAGACTGGCCTTTTGCTTTGCGCGAAAAAAAAGAAAAAAAAAAGAAATCAATCATCAAAAAAAAAGTAAAGTACGTTTCGCACGAGGTAAATGAAAATTACCGTTGCGACTTTTGGCAGTGGACGCACGCGCCACCTGAAAAGAGATAACTGACCGCAGAAGGACCGCCCGTCGTTGCAACGGTACAAAAAAAAAACATGATGCGTGGAAATCAGAATCTTACATTTTATTATTAGAGCCCTGTGGCAAGTCGTCGGATCATCGTTGAAGAACAAGGGAAACTTGTTGTGGAGAAGGTTCGACTGCAGCTTGAAGTTTGACTTCGGTGTTTTAGACAGGTTTGATGCGCTCTAAGCTTTTTTTTCCTCCTTCACTTCAGGGTGATGAAAAAGACCCCAGCTTCCTCGCGGCCGACTCAGTTCTCTTTAGTGGGCTGATTGGCGTTCCTGCTTTTCTGGAGGCAACCCTCACCGCCGCAGCAGTTGAGGAATTGTGCAGTGCCTCAACGAGGCTTCCTTCTTCCACTGGGTTGCCGGATCCAGTGGCAGTGGGGCGGTTGGTTGTTTTTCACCCACTTCGTTCCCATGTTGGACCCGTTTTACGAGCATGAGAGATCTCGTAACACTTTTCTCTCGTGGCGCCGCCATTAAGCGTCCTCTTGGTTTTCCCGGCGTTGACTTAATTATTCCAGTTCTTATTTCTGGCCCGGGGATTACAAGCTTCTCGTGGAGAATGTTACTTCCTTCTTGTTAAAGTCAAGAATTACCAGCTACATGGGGAAGACGAAACCTACCCAGACTCAACAACACGCCACAATTCACCACAGCTTTGCGGGCTCGACCCTTTTACCCAACACCTGTACATATCATTGTACGTTGGACTAGACCCGGTTCCCACAAGGTTTACAACCCAGATTCGAGCATTGAAGTGGATGAGTTTTCAGCTCCTTCCAGATTCGAAATGCACGCAAAGCTTCTGGAGCCTTTGGGTGGGGATGATGGGGTCGGGGAACGTCAAGCTCTGCCAAAGGAGACTCAGGACATTTGGAGGACACACGAGCGCAATCAAACTCGGAGAAATAGGACTATGGGGTCTGAAAAGGAGATTGTCGAAATATCGGACAGTGCACAGGACGCGACTATCGGTGATCCGGACACCAACTGGGTTCGTGAACTGGTCGATGCCGTTCGCAAGCGACGCCAGATTGCCATTTCGCTGCTTGGGCTCCAGGAGTCACTGAATCCTTGCCTAGAAGGAAACGAAGCTGTGCGCGAATGTCTCACGGACATTCTTTGCGGTCCTAAAAACCCCCTGAAGACTGCGAACGGCATCGAAAGATCTATATTAGCTCGTATGATGTATGCATCTAGCTTGGAGAACGTTCGAGAAGTTGAAAACTACGCCGATGAGGAAACCTCCCCGTCGGACATTGATTCTGTTTGAGTAGTCTCTGGTCGAATCGCAACTTGATCTTATCTGGACTGGCTATTATTTACAATTCGCACTGCTTCCTGTAAAGTAATTACACGATTTCCGTTCCTTGCATTCGACGGTGTAAATTGCAATACCTTTTATTGCGAGAACCGGGCAACCTTTGATTAAGAGGAACTAAGCACACATAACGAGGAATGTAGGTAGCCTCGCGGCTACCAACGTCCTCGAGGAACGCTTACCCTTATTTCATGTTCTTCGCTGACACCTTCTGCTGTCGACGGTCTTCCCGTACCGTGGCCCTATCCGCCTACTTTTCATTGTTATCTGTGATAGTTCTGAGAGGATCTCTATTTACTTTCATATTAGTGCTGAATTCGAATATCTGGCCTGTGTTTGCCCCGAGAGTTCTGCGCATTAGCTCCAATACATCTCATCGGCAAAAAAATTCAATGAACTCGTTGACTGTCCGTTCCTGCGAGTCCCTGCCACCAGTTCCCTCGTTCGAAGAAGGACCGTGCGCTGAGCCCACGGTAAAGCTAGCTATTAGCCCAGGCGTACATGTAAGCGCTTGCACGAGTCGGATGGGAAACGTTTCGATCCCCGATAGGGGGCTTCATCGCTCCCCTGAGCTGACAAACTTTCCCTAAATGATCTCCGCCTTGTCACGAAAGCGACGCGCACCTCCGGCACTCCGCCATCGGTGGGGTTCTCAAGCCACGCTCCTGTCGTTCCGGGCAACGCTGACATCGTCTTCGAAAGCAAGCGCAGAGGAAGCCCCGAAAGCCGATGCACTCGCCAGTCCCTCTCACCCAACGCTTCGCACCGCTGCGGATGCCATCGTCATCGGCGCCGTTGCCTCTCGCGCGGGATCAACCGCCAATGCCCCTGCCAATTGGAAGCTGACGCAAGCCGTGTCCCTGCCCACTGCGGCCACTGAAGCGGTCATGTCTCGTCTCCAGGCTTCCCGCTTTGAGGCGAAGTTCGGCCAGATCCGACTGTAAGTGGTGGGCTTGCTGATGTTTTGTCAGTCTGAGACTCCCACTAAATTCATGTTTTATTATTGTGCTTCCAGTCTGTACGACTTGGATTTGAAGGACCTGCCGTCGATCGTCAGTGTTGTTGGGCTCGGAAAACTTTCGGAAAGGTCGCCTACCAGCCTCCAAGCAGAGCGGGCCCGCCTTGCAGTTAAGTTATTCATTGTTGGACTGCGCCAAGCTAATATCTTCTCGTGGGTCCCATAAACAGGCATCGGCAGGGATAAAGTCGATTGCATCTCTGTCGCCAACATCTTCATTTAAAATTGGAGTAGAACCGTTTTTCGGAAATGCGAAAGCGACGGCGGAAGGGGCTTCGCTGTCCAACTATTCCTTCGACCGATTCAAAAAAGACAGGAGCAAAAAGGGATTGGTCGAGGCACAGCTGTTCGCGCCGGGTGCTGACGCATCCCTCATCGACCAGTGGATGGAAGGGGTTGAGATTGCAGCATGTAAGACGCGACGACACACTCGATTTCGGATCAACAGTGACTCTTACTTCCATTTATTAGCCCAAAACCTTGCCAGGACACTGATGGAAACTCCGGCAAACCACATGACCCCAACCGTCTTTTCCAAGGTCGCCGTTGGAAAATTGCAAGGTTTGCCCAACGTCACCGTGAAGGTTCACGAAAAGGATTGGGCTGAATCTCAGAAGATGGGTGCTTTTCTTAGTGTTGCGCGAGGGTCCGACGAGCCCTTGAAATTCGTGGAGATTGTGTACAAGGGTGGAAAGCCAGACGAAAGGCCTATTGCTCTTGTCGGAAAGGGTGAGTACCTTGCTCGCGCTGAGATGAGATCTCATGTATGTGATTTCAGGGGTTACGTTTGATACGGGAGGCATTTCCATCAAACCATCCAACGGCATGGCGGCGATGAAAGGAGACATGGGTGGTGCTGCTGTGGTTCTGTCAGCGATACTTGCTATCGCTCGACTTCGCTTGCCTCACAATGTTGTCGTCGCGATTCCCCTCACGGAAAATATG